TAAGACAGACATTTTATTATTTAAGTGATGAGTCTTTCTATGAATATGTGACATATCATGTCATTTTAATATTTTCTAAGTATAATTATTAAACTATATTAAAACAATACCAATAATTATGATATTGTTTTAATATAGTTTCATAATTTTCAGATTTTACAAGTTGTCGCTTAAGCCTGTATTTCATAAATCAGGTTGTTTCGTGTCAAATGTATAGTCTCCATTTAACTGAATAATTCCATGGTGGTGGGGTTTAATTGAGTAGATGATAGTTGTTCAGCTGGTTATTCTCCGTTGTTACTGATTACAAATGTTATTACAGTGGTCATATAAGCAACTAGTATCCACCATCCTGAATCAATTTAATCCTATTCATAACTTCCCATCCTGTTTTAAGATACATTTGAATAAATATGACATTTTTAAAGAGTTTTCTTCCCCAAAACTTTTTCTACAAAAATTTTGTAAGCATTTATCTTACTCCATACACTAATATATCTTATGTACCTTATCCATAATCGCTTTAAGGATATGAAGTGAAGAGTGCAAATTATTAAGATCTTCTTATGTTTTCTCCATAGACTCCAAGAAAAAGAATTCATCTTGAGAAGCAAACGGTCATTGTATAAGTCAAGAAATCCACCGCATTTTATGGAAATGAAGGTTCATTGCCATGTTCGCAAAAGCCTCCCACTGGTTCTCATGTTGAACAAAAAAAACCTTATCCACAGCTCAATATCAAATTTCTTCCAGATCCATTTCAGTGTTATTATATATAGAAAGACCGGTAAAACAATTACGTATTTGTGTTCACGTCGTTTTACGTTTGAAAAATTAAGGGAAATTTATTATTCTGATGTGTTTTCGGGATTCACTCTACTGGAATATTCTTCAAAAACTTTTTATGTTAAATGTCAAATAATACAAAATTTATAGCGCAATAAACCTATCCTTGGAGGTTTTTGTACTTCGAATATCCTTAATTGTTACTTCAGTGCTGTTTTCTTAACTTTTTAGATATATCTTGCGATGTATTTACGAGACAACTTTGGATTTTCTCCTTGATATCTGCAGTACATTCAGCTTTTAATGGTTGGCATGTCTGCTCATTGCAATTCCATCCTCCCCCCTGTTATCTCTCCACTGACCATCTCAGTCCGTATTGCGTTCACACTCTCTCACAGGTTGGCTTTCCTCAGGCACATGCCCATCTCTGTCACAATTTATGTATTTCTTCTCTTCAACTCACCCATGTGATGGACAGGCTTGTGGCAGTCTTTTCTCTGTCTCGTTTCCATCATAACACCTATAAAAAAAACTCTCAGGCCCCTCACAGCTTCAGAGGCTATGTTGGATAAATGCCCATGAATTCTTGAGTGTTCAATAATAAAAGTACGTTGAAGTGACCTCCTTGTATTATTTCCAACTGACCATATGACCCGCCCTCTATAACAGCCCGTATACTTGCTTCCAATCACAATGGTACTTCACGTCAATACGAGTATCTCTCTTTATTTAGATCCACAAAAGCACACAGTAATATGCATGTTACGAACTCCAGCGTCCTTTGGTTTCAGAATGAATAAATCTCTTAATATACGGTAACAATTTCTGCTTAGCCTATGTTATCAAAGAACGTAAGGTTACAAAAATGTTCTTCATATAATACACTAATTCTTTGAATACGGAAGGTTCAGCGACTTTGATACAGTTGTTGGTAATTGGAATTATATCCAGCTCCGATAATCTCTCTAAGATCTTATTAATGTTATCCTGTTTTCCACGTAGGAAAGCCGTGCATATAAATAACATCACACAATAAAAATGAGACGTTAATAGAATATTTTCTTCAGTTTCTTATCAATACACTCACTCTGTTCATAAAAATTTATTCTAAATTAATTTTAGAACATCTTACGATTAATCTTAAAGCCTTTAATACCGTGCAGTGTATTGATATATTTAAAAATCATGCATACAAACAAAATGTATAAAGAGTTCTGTTTGTATGCATGATTTTTATGTATCATACGATTATTTATGTATTGTACAAAATAAAGATCTTGTGATGTGCATATCCAAGATGTTTGGGATTATTTCTATTGCATACAATACAACTGGCTTTTTGTTAATGGTAATACTCGTATTAATTACTATTTGTCTAGCATATAATAAATCATACACCTACATTATGAAAAATAAGCTAACTACACATTTATATGTATTCTGGTAATTGTTAAAACTTATTATTTATAACACGTTTACATATACAGTTACAGAAACAAGGAGGTTTGCCAAAAATTTTAAGATTACTAATATTAGAATCGCATTCATTATTGGTAATACAACATAAATAAATCTACGCACCAGAGCACAGTAACGAAAATTGAATTAGTCGGATTTAGCAGTATCGGTGTTTATAAGTTAAAGTGTCCAGAATTAAACATAAAATACGATGATCAAGCCGGAATACATTTTACCTCAAAGTTTTAAGAATATATTAAAGATATTTGGGAAAATAAAATTAAACCAGAATATTCTGAGCGTAATTTATAAACGGATCACCAGCGTGGTAGAATGGGGAATTTCGTTTAAATACTATAAATCAATAGAAAGAGACATTTTCTTGGTGTATTTTAACAATTTTAATGTGTCCTCCAATATCAAATGCTACATGTGTCTGAACGACATCTGTTGTGATGGACACAACTCCCTAAGTATGACGTACAGCTGACCCATACGTCACACTAAGAAAATACGGGCGACAGTGGACAGTTACAGCCCGTCTACCTTCGGGACCAGCACTCTAGTAGGACGACGAGACTACAACATGAAATCTGCACGTGAGTCATTTTCAATTCAGTTACTGTCACTTCAGAAAGAAAAAACAGAAAATAAGGTCTAATTGAAGGAAATTTATTACTTATTAAAACAATTTAAAGTTTTATTTCAAATCAGATCGGGGCCATTTAAAATATCTCTATATACTTCAGTATGCTAGGGGAATCTTAAATATAAATCTTTAGTACTAGAGCAGTAACATAGCCATAGAAGAGGCAATGAATACTCATACGAGGACCACAGAAGTTAAAGTCATGATATTAAAATAAACATAGTATTTTACAGTACTCGGCATAACACAACATTGCACTAGACCTGTTTTGCTATCTTGCTCTGACAATTATCGCGTATTAATATTTACATTTTATTTTACAATTATTTTATTACATTTTACAGTGAACTAATGAAAAATGTTTTGAGTACACTTTTCGAATTATGTTTGTGTGAAAACAAACGAGTCTGAAATTGCTTCAATCGCACCGAAATTGACTTTTTTTTTCATTCAAAAATTATTCATATTTTGACGGATACTACTAAAATACCTTCATATTTTGCGTTTCACAGTTGCCAAAATTTATTTGAAGTTTTTATCTAATTTGTGAAGTTGGTAGTTGCTTAATGAAGTCCATGACGTTTGCAGAACCCAAAGATGTACACCTCATAGAAGACCGCCTCCTTACCAACATCGCCCTGAGAACCCCAAATATTGCAATTGTTATATGAAAATCAAGGAGTTCACAGACAGCCTGCAATTGTAAGTTCATATCGAATTTCAGGAAAATCTATAGATTTATGCATATGATATCGATAATAATTAAAGCAGGGATCGAACAGATAGAAATTACGCTTGTTAATAGATTTCCGAAAAAAAATGTGTTATTTTCAAGTCGAAAATAATTAATACAGATTATTTTGAAATCATTTTGTAGCTAATAGTAGAATGTTGTTTCCTAATTAAATTTCCAGCATAAGCCCTTTGTGTTTCTAAGTATAAGCACACAAATTGTAAAACTGAAAACACGTGTAACTGGAAGTCATTGTGTTAATTCGGGAACGTGGGGGCGAATGAGTGTGGGCGTGTGATAAGTACACGACCGGGCATAGATTTAACGTCAGCCCGCAAAACCCCTTCACATATACACACAAAAAAAAACAGTCCAGCAATCTTTATATTGCCATGAAGTTCGTGCGAGTGAGGGTTACAAAATGATACACATAGAACCTGGACGTATTAGAGACTGACCACAGCTCATGGGGGTTTATCAGCTTACATAGTGAGATTGTATATGATTTGCAATAAAAATAGACGTTCCATGTGTTACAGTGCATATTAATGTACAGAACATTGCAAAGTAAATATTGTTCTTTGAAATTCATATATGAATACCAAGCCACTATTGCCTGTGTTAATTTTTTTTTAAATACTGATTTTTAACTTGCGTGTATAAAAGTGTTATCTACTGTTGGTTCTAGACATTTAAAGTTCAGATCAGACTTCAATGAAATTGAGGTCCCTTCACGAATATAAACCAGGGTTATTTTTTTTTAGTGGAATGGAAAGTTAACAGGTTGGTTAGTAGTGAGAGAAGTTGGTATTGTTTAAAGCGAAAAGCCGCGAAAATTTTCTGTTCCTTAACCTGTAGTTTTGATTCTCACCTGTAGTATAGTTCATCCAATGACACTATATTAACTGAATAGGTTTTGTGGCGTGGAATATTACAGCGATTATGTTAATACCTAATAATCGTAATTTTATAACAAGTAGTAATCCTCACAATTTTTTTTCCCTTGGAAAAGGCAGCCATGACCTAATGAGAGAATAATAAGACTGACAGTTAATGTTCAAATTTATTTTTGTTTCGTATCGGTCCAGTGTAAACTCAAGTTGAACACTGTTGTCTCAAAAACTCTTTTACACACCAGACTTAGCTCATTTATATCCAGTGTTTTAACAGTACAAGTTCGATATTCTTTTATTCCTCTATGTAATGTTTGAAGAAATGCATTGGTACAGATTTTGACAATTTATGAAAGTCTTTTCACAGGACAGTGAGAGATAAAATTGATGCACTACAAACACTTATTTAGAATTTAAATATGTGTTACGTCTTATGAAAAATAATCGAATGTAGGAGCGGAAATACAAATACAAAAAGCTTGTATAGTTTAAGGGTTCAGTTTATTCAAGTAATATATTCCCTTTAAGATTTAAATCAGTGAAACTGCACATTTAATAATTATATATTTATTATTTTTATATAGTGTTCTGTCTGACGACAGGTCCATTTGAACAGGATCCTTCCATCCTTTTCTCGGACTGGTACCTGTTCATATACGTTCTTGGCAGATGATCCAGAAGTGGTTTGCCATTACCTTCTTCTGTGTGTGAATGGAGTAACTGTTGTGATGCCACGGAGAAACCGGAGGAAAACTCCGTGTTGCCTAGACCACGGCCTTGCCCAACACAAGTTATAAATTCGGGCACCGCCGGGAATCGAACCCGAGACCCCAGGAATTTAATAATATGAATTTAAAATAAAATTTTTGTATCAGCAGTAAATTATCAAGATCATTGAGACAAGTGTTTAAAATTACGTAAGGGAAACCATTGTATATATGGGAGAATAATATTACAGTGAACCTTAAGGAACTAGGTCATAGGGTGTGCATTGTGTTAAACTGGATTGGGAGACAGCGTAGGTTTCGTTTGCAGAATTCACTGAATACTGCAATGGACATATCCTTGTAGTAAATACCTTAATTATAAGATAGTAGTGCACGCACAGAAGACACGCTCATTATTAAGAAATCGATTACTGCATTGCAGCATAATCTTCGTGTCAATTATTTGGTATCTATCTTTGTTGCTACATGTTTTAGATACTTATTTCATCTTTATGCTCCTTTCTCTAAATATAGTGTTCAAAATACTGTTTATTACTCTTGGTAGATTTATTAATTACGTAAATAGATATTTTGATTTTAAAATGGTGGGAAATTTCTTTTGCAGGTAAGTGATAGCCACCATTCCAAGAAGGATTTTCTTCATGGAGTCAACAAGTTTCGTTAGAATTAGAAAGGAAGGATTTGGAAAGTATCAATTCTACTCTAAATGTGAGTACACATACATATTCTTGTCTCTTTTAATGTTCCCCGAATGCGAACATATGTTCTGGGTCGAATTTATAATTATGGTTTTTATGAACATAAGTTTTGTTAAATCAGTGTCACGTGTACATGATATAAAATAAAATATAAGACCAAAATTAAACAGATAACAGCTATAAAAGCCAAAATACATTTTATTGACGATAAATGTTGTTAAGAGTACACTTTGTCCACATATTAAAATGTCGCTTCGATATCGTAAACAAAATTGATATTTCACAAAATAAACAATTTTTGTTCTAAGCTAAATTAACTATTTTTACGAACCATCCCCAAATAGGGAACAGTTTACAATTAGAGAAAGAGAAGGCTTTGCCATCTGTTGAATGTTTGTTGTATTACAACTACAAGCAGCTCCCTGCCATGTGGCTATGTTCGTCTTCATAATCGATACAACTGCAGTACAGCAAAACGGCTATTCAAAACACTGAAATTTACGTGATCAAGACGACAGTGGATTAAGTGTCGTCGAATAGCTACAAATGATTCCTAGGTCGCCCTTTTAAAAAATCAGAATTCTTTTAATTGCTCTGATTTGTGTGTCGTCCGTTTAAACTTATCACATCACTTTATTAATACTTCCTGTAAGTAATTTCATGTTTGTCGTATTACTAACTGTGCCCAAAAATTCTCGCAATGTTACTGAGTAAAAATTCGACAAACGTTTGCATTTTTTATCAACATTTATTGCCCAAAAGCTTATAATATGTTTGATCATTCGATATGTGTCATTGAATATCGTAGAAAAATATCTAAACCCAACATCTTCACCGAGACTCAAACCTAGTAAATTTTTTGGGGGGGTTTGTGATCTCAGTTCCTGTAATCTGGGCGCCGTTCTTAGTTTCCGAAGAACTGTACTGATCTTCATCGGGACTGGAACTGAGGATAAGTTTTCGAGGTCATGGCCTTGTTCTATAATCTCCTTTTCGAAACAAACAAAAGTTTTCTAGCCATTTCTAGTATGCTTAATTTTCTAGCAACAGAAGCCATGTTTATTGGGAATCAAACTCAGAGCACTTTTCTTTGAATTCTGGTCTATTGTCTCTGTAACGTCTTTTTTAACAATTTTTGTAGTAGAGCCGTCCTTTATCGCGACTAATTTCCGAGCTACAAGAACTGGCCTCACCTGGATTCAAACTCAGAGCACTTTTCCCGAAATTTTAACCCAGTTATGTTCTATTCTATACCAAGTTTGTTGCAATTCTCGAACTATAAGCGAACATACAAATAAACAGAAAAGTTCAGCTTAATATAGGCCTACAAGATTAGCACGTTTGCCTTTATTTTATAGGCTTATAAGCTAAAGAATTTGTATATTTATGTGTATATACGAGGTGCGATCGGAAGTAATCTCCTTTTCGAAACAAACAACTTAGGTGTACTAGCCCTTCCTATTATGCTTAATTTTCTAACAACAGAAGCCGTGTTTATTGGGAATCAAACTCAGAACATTTTTCTTTGGATTCTGGTCTATTGTCTCTGTAAAGTCTTGTTCTTTATCGCGACTAATTTCCGAGCTACAAGAACTGGCCTCACCTGAATTCAAACTCAGAGCACTTTTCCCGAAATTTTAACCCAGTTGTGTTCTATTCCGTACCAAGTTTGGTGCAATTCAGTATACCCTTTCTCAAACTATAAGCGAACATACAAATAAACACACAAGTTCAGCTTAATATAGGCCTACAAGATTAACACGTTTGCCTTTATTTTATAGGCTTATAAGCTAAAAAATTTGTATATTTATGTACATGTTATAAGTAAGTTCCATTTTGGAACTTTTCTTCTCCAAACGAAGCTGATTCCAAACGAAGGTAACAAATAGAAATTAATGAGACGAGTAAATTCTGGGAATGTTTTTCAGTTTGAAAAAACTCCTATCTGCTTTTAAAAAAATATGAAAATTATATACAAAACAATAATTTAGCTGCTTGTTTCGTACGGGTGAGAAACATGATTTTTATTTCAATGAAACTCTTAAAAGAAGGGAGGCTCTTTATGCCTTAGACATTTCACGTCACGTGGTTAGGTTCGGTTAGAACGGTGGAATACTACGCACAAGTCTGCGTCGAATTGTATTTGCTAGGGTGGGGGTGACACGGAACGCGTGCAAAATTTTGATAGGGAAACCTCTTAGAATACGTCTGCATGGAACGCTCAGAAGGATGTCTTAGGAATATAGGTAGTAACAGTTAGGAGGACCTGAACACCTCATCTGATATTGTCAGGGTGATTATATCGAGGAGGTCGAGGTCTCTGGAAAGATATAGGCGTAGGTTGGAGGATAACGTTAAGAAGGACCTTGGGCGCTATGAATCGATGGAGCTAACTAGCGGGATTTTGTTAACACGGTGATGAACTGTCGGGTTCCGTGAAAAACTGGGCTATTGTTTGAGAAGCTGAGTATACATGGAATCGACTTTTCTTAAAATTCCCTGCGCCATAGAGTGAGAGAGAGAGAGAGAGAGAGAGAGAGTGAGTTAACAATTAGACGTGAATGGTTGTAGTTCGGCATTGTGTCGTCAGGGCGGACTTTGGTATGAGTGGTACTGAACCGTCAGCTTCTGGCAATGTTGGTTACACTGGCGACAAAAGACATTTCGCCTCGTTGTAGCAAGTCTGAAAGTTTTGTATTGTATGCGCTTGGCGAGTCAAACTAAAAATTAAAATGTTTTAAGTACTTTAACAGATTAATACCTATAGGCTATCTATTATATTTTAAAGTCTATAATACTCCATATAGGGCCCACTGTACAGAATATTTTTTCATTGTGTTGATATTTTGAATCCAAAGACCTGCAATACACAAGGGTTTCCCCCCCGAACCTCTCCCAAGAACTCTTCCCACCCTCACTCAGCCTCCAACATAAATTTATAGGTGTACCAATACGTCTATGCGAAGATCCAATTCTGATGTTCCGAAAATTAGAGTCTGTTGCTCGCAGAAGATGTTGGTATCAATTTCGACAGTAGATAGATTGTTAGCCGTAACCATTAATAACATTCGTTTGAAGATAAATTGAGAGAGACTGTAAATACTGCATCTTGTAGAAGACGGATTACGAACAGCGATTGGTTTCACTACAAAAATGACTTAAGTGCAAGAGGCGGTATTGCCATAATGTGAGTGTAGTCTATATTTGAGTCTGAAAACCACCTGTTAGTTTCATTTTCTGTCCACAAGAAACAGTGTCCAGATTACCAAACCGATTGCTATTAAATTCGGTGTGTCAAACTTATTCTCAACTCTTTGAACCATACTGATTGCAAAAGATCTGTCACATTTTAAAGGTCTGTTTGTTAGGTTTTTACAGTATATCTGTTTTAAATCATGCGTTTATTTTATTTACATTATTTAAAATGATAAGAATGGTAATTTTTAACTTCTCCATTTCTCAACATCGTCACGTCAGAACTGAAAATGGAGACGGTACGTTTCTCCAAAACGTTGGCAACTATCGATGAACATACATGGCTCCAAGACCCAGAAGAAAAACATCATCTTCTCTCACGTTAATTATTTCGAAGCCCCACGTAACTTAAGTTACATGTTTTTACCTTATGTTATCAGGGCTTTGTGTGTCTGCGATTGTATTAATTTTTGCCTCTATTTCTGGAATATAAATTGTTAATTAGACATGTAAGGGCGCGGTCTGAGGCCTGGGCCTTGTGTCGCTTGGTCACTGGGACCGTGGGTTCGAATCCCACTCAAGCCATGGATGTCTATGTTGTGCTGTCCTGTGTACAGGTAGAGGCCTTGCGACGGGCTGATCCCTCGTCTAAGGAGTCCTACCGAATGTCCAATAGACCAAGCAAACCTCCCATGAACCTTACCGGTAAAAATTGAAATGAACTGATTAAATATGGCGTCGGGATTACGTACAAAGTTTGACGGAAATTCGTTAAGTAATTTGGATGAGGAAGTATCCGGACGGATATGAATGACGAATTACGATTATGGGCTTAAAAACTTTTCGCAGAACCGTATAAAATAACGCGATGCCGTGTTATTCTTATGGATGTGCATGTGCAATGCTTATTAATGGCAGTGTGAACAGATGATAATATTTCCATAGGAAAAAAGTGGAAAATACTAGTATGTGAATTAAAAAGGATCTTCAGGTTCAAATTCTTTTTCATTCACAGCCATTATAGAGAGACATCCAGATGGATGAGAAATGGTTGCCATTAATAACACTCGTTTGTTACTGGAAAGACGTATTGACAGAAACTCCTATATTTCCCGAAGACAGGCAGGAAGACGGAGAGCAGATGGGGAGATGAGGTATTGCTAGACGTACCCAATCGCTCACGTCATATAAAGTAGGAGGCACTGTAATATTTATGGAGTACAACCGACGGATATATATTAATATATTTGACATCTTCTTCGAACTAATTTTGTGGATAAAATGTTGTAGATTTCCAGTGCCAGGTGCGCCGTATATTAACGTGAAGAATCAAGAGGTGTTTAATAAGAAAATATCTTAATTTGGATTTGTTAAAACAGGTCAGAGGGTAGTAAGGACCAACTATGTTCAGTATTTAGCCAATTAGAAGTGTACATAACATCTTGCCATAAGACTTTCTCACACGTAAATTTAGAGTGATTCTTCTGGCTAGCTCACTGGGTTAGACACTTCAGAATTCTGTATTCTTTATATTAAATAAATGGTATGTAGTGTATTTCTCGACGTTGTATCATCAAACTAACTAACTAACTAGATGGCTTACTGAACCCGAAGGTACATCACCGAATTAAACAAAGCCCTCCACCGGACCCTGTCCTGGGCCAACAAAAGCCAGTCTCCTTCAACTCCTATCTCCCATAGATCCCGCCTGAGATTATCCTCCCATCTACGTCTAGGTCTCCCCAGCGGTCTCTTCCCCTCAGACTTCCCAAATAGTGGACCCAACCAACCAGATGGCTTAGGGAACCCGAAGGT